TCACCTACTTAGTCGTGTAAGGCAGGATCTTACAAGGAGACTCAGTGTAAATGCATCCGTGTCAACTGAGAAACCGTATATCACTGAGCATGTCCACAAAGAAAGAAACGAAGCAAAGAACCTAGACCTATCCAGATCTCTGCAGGTTTTCAGCTGAACAGGAGATAAAATTATCTTTTGCTAGTCAGCTACGTGATTTTTTTTCCTCTTGAAACTTCTGAGCCAAAGCTAAGTTTGATATGTCTTGGGGACTTCTCTTTATTATAAGACAGGCTTATAATTTAGGAAATGTTTTTCTTTCTTTTTGCAGTACAGGACAACTGACTGCTTTATTAATTTAGTTAATTAGGCCAGGCATAAATAAAGGATGTGGGCATCAGCCCCCTATATGCAGCTTTAATTTGTTTGCTGCATGCCTGGTGGAGGTCATTGTCACTTATTACCTTTTCACTTCCCTTGACAAATGCTCTCCTGCACACTGAAGCTGCTCCTAGAGACAGCAGGGAACTACAGTAAGTCCAGGCTAAGTCAAGAAGCCCCCTAGATCTTAATTATAAAACCATAAAAGAAACCAACTGCCTCTGAAGCTCTCTTACCAGGAAACAAATGAGAATGGGAAATTTATTTCCAACCATAAATCCCAAACCCTTCAGTTTAATTTTTCCCAAGTTAACTTTCTCACCTAGCTAAGCAGCACTGCCTTCTATTATTAGCTTCTGGCCCAGTATCAGCTGACCACCATCAGTCAAACTGTCTTCATCTCAATGAGCTCAGGGACTCCCAAGGAACTCTGTGTATGCAGACTTGTGCTTGCAGCCTCTAATTATTTTCTAACAGATAATGGAGCATTTAAGTTCAGAGAGGATAGATTAAACTTGTAAGTGGATCAAAACCCTGGACAGAATCACAGCTCACAGGATTACTTCCTGAAAACACCAAGCTTAGAGGACTAGAGAGGAAAGGCCCTCATCAATTGCCTGTTTTCCCATGACACGTTAGCTTAAGGATATATATTTTTAGCCTCAAAGGTGGTTTGTTATGCTTTCCAACTGCAGCACGATTTTGGAATGTAATACATTATCAGTCAAGCATCTGGTTTGATGTTAAACCATCTGATCAGGCCAATGGCTACTTGACTTATCAGACAATCATAACAGTCAAATAATTTGAGGCTGAGAAGGGGAAATTGTTTTCACATGTGAAATTATAAGTCCCGGTTCTACTATCAAGTAGCTTCTTAGGTACATATCTGCCTTTTTTCCTCATAACAAGTCTCTCTTCCCTCCCTAAAACTCAGGACCCTCATATATTCTGTTACCAGTCTTAGGGTAAGGAGCAGGATATCCTTCCCTCCTGATACCTTCTGTGCCCACTGGTGGCTCCCCTCCCAGATGTGCTGGCAGGTAGACCAGTAGCAAGGACATCTGCACTCTGAATTCAAATTCCAGCACCCTCTGGGGACAATGAGGTATGACCAGCCAAGCAGGGAGAAGAAACTACGCCCCACAACTTAAGCACCTAAAGCTTTCAACACCTGAGGGGAAATTCTTTAGATTGTGAAGTTATTCCAGAGATAATGCATATTCAGAAATAGGTGGAAAAAAGGTAAACCTGCATTTTACAAAACAGTAACCTCTGCAGGGTGAAAGCGAATCCATAAAAGTCTACATGTACATTCTGCTTCTGCCCTGGAGAAGGTGGTATGGGTTACTTCGTAGACTTCAGCTTGCACTGTTGTAACAGACAAGGATGGACTACTGCAGTGATGAAAGCCATGTAAGAAAGCAGGGAGTAGGGTAAAAGAAAAAAGCGCTAGCTGGGAATGTGTGGAGAAAGCCCAGAAAATAGACTCTGCTGCAACTCCCCAAAGAAAAATTCTGAATAGGGGATGTACTTTTTGATGATGGCCAATTCATCATCCCCTGATGGGAGGAGGGTAGGAGGTGTTTGGCCATAACAGGTGCTAACATCATGCATTATATCATTATAGTCATTAGAGATCCATTAGTGAGTGTTCAAGGTGCTGAAATGACAGCCCAGTAGCCAAATTGTTGTTCTTTACTCTTTTAGCGTAACATTTAGCAAAATTTCAGTTCGCAGAGCACTTTTAGACTTACATTCTGCCAACATTAGCAGTTTTGACCAGAGCCTATGGACAATGCCACTAATATCTATATCAGCTATTTCTGTAGACGCTGAAGTGTCCCAAGTAATCTCTCTCTGTATACAAACTGCAGTTTCCAAGAGGCTTTACATTTTCCAGAGCCTCTCTAAAAAGAATGGCAAGTTTTACTTGCAAGTACAAGGACATACACAATCGACTAAGAAGTAATTGCTGACAAAAGCAGACCTGTACTTGACAAGTACAACAAATTAAAGTCAAAGGTGTGACTCATATAATGACACTCCTTCCCACTAACCTCCTCTTCCCATTCATAGCTAACATGTCAGACACTTACTTAAGAGTTAACCCTCACTATATTCATAATGGAACTTAACCACCTATATAACTTCAAAAAATCTGATACAACTGCTTTTAACCAATGACTATTCATAATACTCTTTTTACTGAAATCACAACTGATGCATTTTGCTTTCATATGTACACTTAAATTTTCCTCATAAACTAACACCAGTATACAGAATCAAGGTTTATCAGGATAGTTATACTGACCAAAGCCTTGGGGTGAGAATGAGTGAAACACATTTTTCTACTATCTTACTCTTCAGTGAAAGATATTCAAGTTATCTCCTTATATTAGCTTAAAATTTTAAAAAGTTTAAAACTATGTACTTTCTAGGACAGATAGAAGCAGTTCCATTAAAACCATAATCAATGCCTAGGTCATTCTCTTTAAAAACGTGGCTTGTTTCAGGAAATAAATGACTGGGTTAGGAGGTGAGGATGATTACATAAGCAATTATTTCGAAGGAATGAAATTAAATCTTCTTCTTCATCAATGCAGTACAACAAAGGATGTTACAGACCACTGTACATGTATCAAATGCAGCACTGATAGAAAATGTTTCTCCTTATTGTCACTTATATCAACTAGTGATGAAGTCCAATTCTTTTTTATTAAGAATAACCTTTAGGTTATTATTAACCTCTATTATTAACTTTAACTTTTCTCTCATCTTGTTACTACTGGGTCAGACACTCATTAGAAACTGTTAATTTAAAGAGAAACCTTTCCTAGTGTGGCTGTACCTTATATAGGTAAAATCTCGAGTGTTTCCAAAAAAAACCTTCATAATTTCTGAGCCATTTCTCAGATGTTACGACACATACAGTGGAGGGAAATGTGGTCCAGTGAATTGTCAGCTCATCAACCTGAGCTATGAAACCTCAGACAAGTAACTTTGTCTTTTAACAAGGACCTTACATTTTCTCTATAGAGTGCTTCAGGGTTAATCAATATCAGAGAAGGAGATATTACTATCATTTCTCTATCAGAGATGGGGTCAGATCCTCAGCTGGTGCAAGTCGCTCAGTTTCACTGACTTTCGTACAGTGATAACAACTCCCTCATCTTGAGGCTGGAATCTACATCACTGACCACTGCCATCGGCCATGGAGCGCAAGTCGCATTCAACGCCCTTGCATTCCCTGCACGTTCGCTTCTAAAGGGTGCTGAATAACATTATTTTGTCCATTAGGCAAACATCTAAGCTTCTTCATCCCTTTACCACAATTCATTCATTTTGAACAGGGTCAAAATGCCTTTTTTTTTAAAAATTTGTGCACAATGATTATTGAAGGTCATCAACATACATGTGCAGTGCTCTGTAAAAAGCACAGGAAATACCTTCACCTATACAGCCTTCATTCAATTGCCTAAGAATTCACATGTGGTAATTTTTCTGAAATAACTAAATCCATAACTATCTATCTATTCATTGCTAGATGGAAGAAGAGACTATATAATGGGAGCACATTCTCCTTGTGGTTTACAGTCTTATTAATGATAAACTAAAAGTGTAAATTTCTATGGTTTGTTAAAAAGTTGTCACTGAACAGGACATACACATTCACAGTGTCAATGAGGCTTGATCCTGACATGGAGCTAAAAACTGAGTGCACAGTCTCTGTGAACATAGAACATTCATGAAAATTATAATCTTGACCTCTTCATAACAATACTTCATATTAGTAAAGCAAAATGGGCTTTTAAAATCCAGCAGTTTCTTTTTTTCCCTCCCTGACACGCTTTGCTGCTGGCTGATAGCTCCCAGACTCTCAGTGCTTAGTTCTCAGGAACACTGAAGCAGAAGAGAGCTAAGGCTAAATTTCTGTTCCAGCAAGTTCTGCACCAGCAGAGACTCGCATACATGGCAAGATGCTCCCCTGCAACTCCTCCTCTCTCTCGTCTCTAGCTTCTCTGCCATGGAAAGACAAACTGTCTGGCACAAGAGACAGAGGAGTTTCACAGCCTTCCACTGATGGAAGACCATTTATAAGACAATTTCAAGCATCTTCAGGTCCATGACATCTGCACAGTGAAAAACCCAGCCCTTCATTACCATGGCCCCAGCATCACTCTGGTAGCCCGGGTACATACTGTTCTGGAATGGAATTTACTAGTGCAGTAAGCTAAACAGGGCAGAGCGCTGCTTCATACAGATCTGCCTAGCTCTACAGCTTCAGAGAAGCAGCACCGACCTACCTGCAGCTGAGGTGTAACCTTGTTTGTTTGTACATTGATGCAATAGAGAATGCTATGGATATGCATGAATATTGAGACAGCTTGTCAAAGACTAAGGGAAGGAAGGGAATGGCCTACACACAAAATTTCAGCAGCTGAGTTTTTCTGGGGACATGATATTGTAGGATGACACTGAGGATCAGCACAATATTGGCCCTGTGTACAAGCCTTCTATCTATTATTTAAATATAAGGAAAGAAAACTGGCATAAATTCCTCTTCACAATCTCTGTGGATGACAGAAAGACACCCCCCTCACCCCTGGAAAAACTCCAAGACATTGATCATCTCTTACATCCATGAACTCCACGTTGGCTTTCGGACCAGTGGTCTCATTAAGGATCTTAATGGCCACAGGGATCTTTACAGTTTCTCCCTCAGGGACCCAAATACCCTAGAAAAAGAAGAAAAAGTGTCAGAAGACAGTGACAACAATCATAAAAACTTCAGATTTACAGTTCTTTTTGATGCATTCTATCACAGTATGCAGATCAGTTATGAACCTCAGAACTGAGAATACACAAAGCTATGAAATAATAAAAATCCCAGAAAACTACTGCTTACACCAAAAGCAAACCCTTATGCAATTTGAAAGATTTTGTATCAGTGAATGTCTTCACCAGGTCCCCTTGATTTTCCTGTCCACAATGGAATTTCTAGAGAGTAATGTCAGCACGTCAACGATGCACATACTTCTTCCACTATCAATTCTGATAAAATGGAACAAAACCCTGGATTTTCTGTCTGGATTCTGATGCTAAACTCACTGAAGCTGTCAGGCAACTGTCAAAACTGATTATCACCAGGTCATACCATCATGCAGGAACAGGACGCCCTGAGGACAATGTATTTAGAGTGAATCATATAGGGGCTATTTCTCTCATTAATTGATATCTGAGAATTAAAAGCTTAGATAGCTAAAAAGTAAACTTTAAAATTAAAATTCACAAACTGTGTGTGTGTCTTGGGCTACTTTTCCATACTCCTTTCTTATTGCGGTGTTCTTGGCAACCTCATAGTACCCATTTTTATCACTTTATTATTGTCTAAGCATATTCAAAATTATTATCTAGCTTTCCAAAAGTGTACTGTAATGCAATTATGTAAGAACAGAATAACAAAATTTGATACAGCATTTTACTATCAAGACAGCCCAGCTTGTGTAGTCCTCTCACATGCAAGAATGATTGTGGCTGACACTCCTTTTCTCACCAAGAAATAATATCTGCACGTCTGATTAAAACTGAAGTCAACATTTGAGCCTGAAGATGTGCTCCTCCCACACAATTCCACTATCCTGAGTTTCCCAGATACACAGGGCTCATGAATCCATCCATGGTAAAGGGTGCTGTGATGCAATGCAGAACTTGACTGTTCAAAAATTAACTGCGGGAGCTCACTGCTGCACAGTGAAGACTCTCACCTTGTATACAGTTCCAAAGGCTCCAGAGCCAAGAACCTTGACTCGTTTCAGCTCAGTTTCCTTCAGAATACGAAGCTGTGCTTGGTTGGGTGCTGTGCCACTTGGAGTCAAGGGTTCCACAAGCTGTGAAGGAAAATCCAACAATCTTAAATATTCGAAAATGTGAAGACCCATCAGATGGGTAATAGAATAAGACAGTGGTGGTGTCTGTTGACCTGCCAACTTGTGGAGAGATTTCTCACCTTCAAAAGCAAATGAACAATGCTACGAAACCAAGAGACCCAATAAAGAAAATCTTCACTCAATACATAATAATTTTCACCAGGAATTGCATGATGGAATTATGAACTAGAAATTGAACTGGTGTCACAATAACACACCCAAGGACTTTTGCTAATGGAGGCAGTATAAATATGTTCTACATGACAGAAATACAGCATTTATTATCAGTGCACCACATACTATTTTTTGCCCATTTTTGTGTCTTTTAAGTTGGCCATATTTCTTTTTAATAGCCCTCACTTAATGGCTCATCATGCTCATGGTCTTTTTGGGGGGAAGGGACTGTTTTTTCTGAACTTCTGTTATACCACACAGGAGGACAGCTTTAAGGAGGAAACATCTTATAGCAGACCACTAATTTATAACAGCCAGTAATTTGCTGAAAAAAAGGCATAATTAAACAATTTGCTCAAGATGTCCCAAGAAACTGTAAATGAGCCACAATGGCACATTCAGTTAAAAATGCTCTCAGATCAAAATGTTATACTGTCTCTGCCAGAAAAACAATGCTTCTTAAAAAATAAATTAAAAATATATGAAAAGGACAATACTCTAAACAATGAAAAATAGTCTGTTCCTTTACAGGACGAAGAAAATAATTCAGGACTGCTCCTACTCGAATGGGTTTGAAACCACTGCAGAATTTCAAAATTGCCTGTTTACAAGGCTAAATGCATCATGCTCTGCAGTCTGAGAACTACTTCTCTGGCTCTTTGAGCATCACGATCTACTTAATCAGTTGACCAGACTAATTAGTTTTGTTCAGGTAAAAATATTGGTATCTGGAAATTATTGGGGTAAGAAAACCTAACAAAGCCAAAGAGCAACAAGTCAGGCTATCACAGAAATAATCTGAGAGCTGTCCTTTTTTTAGAGTGATTTCTCTTTCCTCCTTTCCACTTCAGATGTCCAGTACTTACACCATGAAAGAAAGATGGTTTACTGTAAAAGAAAAGTAGACAGACTGGGGTACACTTCTGCATTTTCAGTTTGTGAAGGGTGAAAACAGGTTCTGTGTCACAGTCCAGCAATACAGGTACGGCAGGGAGAAGTGCTGTAGGGGTCTAAAAAATTGCTCGTAGAGTTTTATCGAGAATGATCTACAGAAAGGTCTGTTACAATCTCCACCTAGAAACAGAGACTTTAGCTGAAGCTATAGTTGCTTGTGTGTTTATCTCAGGATGCTCCTGATTTAATCTTCAATTTCTAAGCCAAGACAACAGCTTTCCCACATGTTCAACAGCAGGCCTTGGTCCCTCAGGAACTACTGTCAGCCACAGCTTTTATCTGACCAAATGGAGACTGAGAACTGGACTTCAAAGGCAATACTTCCCAAATGCAATGAAAACTACCTGCTTAAAATAATTTATGCTTAAGTAGAGGTTGATACAATGGCAAGATTTACATATCTAAAGGCGCTGAGTACTGGTAAGCCTTCTATGCAGCTGAACAGTATTCAATAAGCAACACAGATTCTAGCCAAGCTTAAAGATACTTAGGCAAACAGACTGGGGACGCATAAATCATTTGCTCCCAGGCTCTACAGTGGAGATGAGTGGGAGCAGGACCCTTGGAACAGAACAGGAAACAGTACTGTTAACAAAGAATCACTAGCTAACAGTATTCACAAGCTTTATTATCTTACAAATGGGGACTCTAATTCAAAAATATCATCACTTGCAAAGTGTCTCAAGTATAGAACTGAGGAGATGGTAGTAATCACCTTTGTGGTAGCTGACAGATAACCACTTAATATTATGTTTCAATATACTTCCTAGATTGCCACCTCCACTACCAGCACTTGAAAGAGCAGGATGGAGCAGGCAGAGCACTCTTTCCTATAGCTCCACTACATATTTTTGCCAGTAGAACTGTGGACTTCATTTGGTCCAGCTCTGGAAAGTATCTCGGCTTAATAAAATACATTTTTATTATTGTTCGTGACTATAGGCTTTGACAAAATCTGAACCACAAAGGCATTGTAGGCACTGGGAGCAACAGTAAGTGACAGTCTCTGCATTTAAGAATTCCTGATGAGCTTAAGTTTGCATCAGGGCTTGATGAAGGAACTTACTTCAGTCTTAAAAGCTGACCTCAGTATGCACTGGATGAAAACCTGTAGTATTTAAGTGTAAGAGATGCTAAATATACTGATGAACTGGGACAGAAGCTCAGTTGAGAGCAGCATGTAAGTTCAAAAATCTGGTGAACATGACTTTGTGATCACGTGGATCTTTTTTGCTCTTCAGAAGCCATGAATCTATCTATATATATATACAAAAAATTAGCATCTTGAAATAGCTTCACTCATTCCATCAGTTTAGTCCTGCAGAAGTTAGCAAAAGGATTTCTACAGGTCTCTCTGGTAACTGAAGACCTGAACATCTTTAATATGAAATCAGAACAGCTCTGCATACCTTTTCAAATATTCTGCAAGAAGAAGCACACTCTCACCTCAGTCTCCAGGAATCTTCGCAATGCTCTCTTCTTTTTAATGCTTTTGCGTCGAACATACACGGCAAATGTCAGGCCCACAATGACGACGATGAAGAGGCCACCAATAACTCCCGCAGCAATCAGAGGGGTTCTAGCAATCAGAATCAGAGACTTAATTTTTAGGTAGCATGAGAGACCAAAGGATGGTTGGGTACATAAAACACAATCACTTGGAAAGCTTATTAACTGCCTTATGACCAGAATTTCTAAGTCAGTCCAAATGAGAAGTCAGAGGAAACACATTAACATATGGCATGACTTTTCTTGTTTTTAATCAATATACCAATTCTACTTTTTTTTTTTTTTTTTCCCAAACTGCCATGCACATGTGAGGAGTCGTGTGGACAAGGAGACAGACCATGCACTTTGATGGCAAACACAAAACTGCAATGGCAAAATGAGGACTGTAGTTTTTCCTGCAAGAGCTTTAACTCTACTTACTCTAATCCATCTAGATTAACCCATAGGCTTGTGCATTTAGGGAAAATAAACTAATGAGAAATTTCCAAACTACCAATATGATGTGCCTTCCTGAGTACGGAGGAAGTGAGAGGCAACTTCAAACATGGTGTTTCATAGACAAATCTGGAGGCATCATATTTGTACACTTTCCTCAAGTAGAGGGAATTTATAATATTTGAACAATGTAATTCATGACTAGAACAATCCACCCTCTTGGAGTTCCTGGTTCACTACTATTACACACATACATTTTGGTCAGGGGTTATTGTTGCACCCGTTTGGTTTTGCTGTGGCTTTTCAGCACATCCACATCCCAGAGCAAAAGACTGGTGTGCTGGAGCCACAAAATTCCTGTGAAGAATGCCAAGCAAGGTTCAGCTTTTGCACAAGACCTGTTCTCCCCCCACTACTCCTATAACTACTTTCAACTTTCTGGGCTCTTGAGCAGCACGAGCTACTATTACTAATTTGTTTTTCCGTAGTGATAAGATACAGTAGGCCAGCATCACGGTAGTTACTATACAAGCACAAAGCAAAAAGACTGTATCAGAGAGTCACTCTGTTTGACCTAGGCACCCACATTTGGAGATTGCCTACACATCCAGTGGAGAGAAGCAGGATCCCTCTGAAGAGAAAGTCAAAGCAATAGGTGCTCTGACTCAGTTTTCCTTACCTCTCTCCCTGCTTTGTCTCTAAAGGGTGGGTAGCAGCCTGCAAACCAAAACCTTAAATTAGGCATTTTCATAGCATACCAACAACTTGCCAATATAAACACTCTCACAGCATTTAACATCCCTCCAACAGTGGCTGGACACTAGCTGAAAAGATGGGTAAAAAGAGACAGCCTAACAACTGCAGAGTATAAGTGGTGCCAAATCCAGTGCCTGGTAACTACAGGAAATAGGTTAACTATTGTCAAGACTGGGGAAATACCACTGCTATGCTTTAACAGCCTTCCTTGGTTATGTCTGAATGATGACAAAAGATACATTACGGCCTATTAATAAAAACGTACCACACAGATATTGAACGTTTAAAGGAGCCTCCCAAAGAAATAGTAAATTGATTTATCTGACCATTTCTTATTCTTTTTCTATCCTACCACAAAGCAGAGCAGTGGGAAGCAGTGTCATCTAACCTGCTCTGGTTTATTAAGGTGTGTCTACACTACCACCGAGTACCATTTCGAAGCCCATCTCTAAACTGTCCTAACTGCCCCTTGTCACTGCAGTTTGCTTCAGAGAGGTCTCAAAGCACACAACCTGGATTCATGTCAGATACAAAACCAGAAGATATGTTTCTGGAGTGCACCTAAGGTGCTCTAACCTCTAACTGGCATTAAGATCCACAGGATCAGTCCAGAGCTAAAGCAAAGAAAAATTCCTTGCAGCAAACACAGCCTAGACGCTGGGACCATTACCGATTACATCCTCCAGATCCAATCCTATTGTGTTACTCACTTCATGTTGTTAATGGACACAAAGCCTCATACTCCCACATCTAGTTATTACAGCACCACTATCATGTTTACCCAGGGAAAACACATTTACATTAAACAACACTGTGAGGCCTATTACAGTTCAAAAACCTTACGCCGGAAACCATAAAGCCTGTAAATAAAGGAAGCTGAACATTGTCTGGCTGCGAAATGGATTACGATGCTTGGGAAATACAAGTCCAGTACCACCTACTCCTCAGACAGAGACATTCCTCCTTCATTTAGTTTGGCCTTAAGACGTATGGCCATTTCTAATCCCATTGATTACTCTGCCCGTTTTGATTGCAGAGCTCAGATTAAAGGACCTGGCATATCCACTCAAAACAACGCTCCTCTTCATTTGCATGTGCTTTCTATGATGCTGATGCAAGAAACTCTTTAACAGGCAATTATGAAAAACACCAGACATCAAAAGACTTATGTAGAGATAGTACTAATGTACTTAAGCAGAGGAATTTTTTCTTTTTTTAATGTGGTATAAACAATCACAATTTTTAACAACCACCACCAAACCACAGACTGACGAAACAGGCAGGAGATCTCTTGGCTTTAAAGTACATATTAATAACTATCATAACAGCTGTCAAAATAAATAATTAGAGTTTTATGGTACTATGTACACTAAAAATGGCCCAAATGATATTTACATGACAGACCATAATAAGGAAATGGTTCCAAAGGAGACATAAAAACTAGTGATGTTGCACATTCCTTCCAGCCCTTTTATTGCTATCGAGTACAGGGGTTCAAAATGAACGTTTATGATCCATCATGTCAACTCTCACTGACTTTAAAAGAAAGTCCTCATAATTTTTAGTAGTGATTTGAAAAAAAGCAAGTCATTTTCAAAAACTTCACCAAACAAGCACTTAGTTATTAACGTGAAATATTCTGTAATTGCATATTATATCTGAATTTTCAGGAGACACCATCTAAACACACTATCAAGAAAGCTTAAAAAGGGAGCATAAATGGAATAATATAGCATGCGAGGCAAAAACAAATAACTGAAATACAGAAAAAGTTCTATTTTCAACTCAAATAGTGATCAGTTGCCTTCACTCCTAAGTCCACTATCCTTGCATAAAAATCATGACAGAAACAAACATCACAGACCTAAATGGATGTGATAGTACACCATGCAGCTTCTCCTCACTCAGCGACTGAGCTAAGCCCCAAAGTCAACAGTCATGTATTTTATCTGCTACACTACCAAATGATAAGCCACTGCCTTCAGTAGTTTCTGGTATCGTCAGTGCACTTCACTGTTGTTTTCTAAACCCAGTTTTCTGGGTGTCACCTACCTCATTTGGGCTATTTTTACTTAGGTTCATTAGGCTGAGTTTGCTTTTCTAGCTATTCTGCTAACATCTTCAAATCTCCTGTATAATTTCTCTACTATTTTCATGTTTGCAGTGGCTTATATTTAAAACCCTGGTGAATTTCATTAACGTGTTGTTTACCTTTCTTTTACATAATTCTTAACACGGATCCCTGCAAGGTGGCGCTGATCAGACATGCCGCTGAAAACATGAAACCTTTCTCCCATTTTGTTTTTTTTAATCCAATCATTTTTTTGCATATGCACCTAACCAACAGTTCAGCTTCACATACAGCTGGACACGCAAATCTCCTTATCTCTAGTGGTATTAAGGGCTTAATCCACTTACATTTTTGTTACACTACTGTCCCACAACCACCCCTGTGAATGCAATTTGCTACATTTGCCCACCTCAGACTACTGCCCACTTAAAACTAATTCCATGAAAGTTAACAGAAGCAATGTTGATGCAGAGACAAAAATTTCACTATGAAAACCCTCCATTCTTTTAAAGTGATTTTTAAAAGCATGGAGGCCTCATGTCTCTGCTAGGTCTCAGAAAGGATAAAGTCAAGCAAAGAGCAGTAGTTCAGTTTCAGTCCTGTCCGTCCAGCGTAAATAATGGACGGCCAAAAGTCAATCTTAGCTCATATTTCTTTCAGCTCCACCACAAACCCAGCAACAGAAAACTCCTGATACAGCCACTACTTTCCTTTACACACTGAAAATCTACCCCAGAGGATGAAAACAATCTCTGCTAGGTGTTTCTGGACTTCTGTGCTCATCAAAATAGACTTAGCAGTCCAAGAAATATGGCCCTGAATCATAAATCAACCTCACATAATGTATTTGCTATCCCCCATCCCTCCCTTGGCTGAGGACAGAATACCCAATTAATGATTGGAAAAGGTGGCAGCGGAGGAGGCAGTGGGAGGGAAAAAAATCACAACATGTGAAAAAGCCTGCCTTTTAAACTAGAAACTGTGTATCCGTGGCTAAAACTTGAAAGTAAGATTCTAGTATTCCCTTAGGAGAAATGAATAATATATATTTCTCTTTAAACGTGTACTGTTTTTTCCTATTTAGAAGCACGTAACACCCACTACCACACATCAAAATCGGGACAAAAGGTTCTAAGTTAGTATTGCAAGATGGACAAGGATGCTCAACAGGGGGGTTCGCATCATTCCATCCACTCCAAAACATCAAAACATCTGCAATTCCCACAGTGCTTTGAGACCAGGTATTAAAACCTAATTACTGATTTAGATGAGCACACAGTCTCATACTTGTGACTGGAGAGTGCAGAAGAAGGGGAAAAGGAAATAGAATTGTGGTCCATGGAGTAAAGCAGAGAAAGAACACCTATTTTTCTATCTTTGGCACTAACCCACCTAATATGATATGTAAATAAATTGAGCTTTGAAGCCGAGCTGTTAAGAGGGCTTTAAGTTCCTGTCTCCACTTTGCCCTCCTTTACATTTTATCTATATATCCAAACAGGATTCATTACAACCTTGAATATTTGCTAAGTAGTCGCTTCTTGTAAATTTTCATTATCAGGTCATTACTTTTTCCTGATGGACGAGTCCTGCATTCCTTATCCCTTCCATCAGTGGGGAGTTCAGCCGACTTCGAAGCTGCACTTTTAGAGATCTAATGGATTCTGCTAATCCTGGAACAATAATCTTAGTATTTAAAATATACAAGATAAACAACCAGACTGGGAAGCAAATTAGTGTATGTTTTAGTAGCTTTACTCTCTGCTGTGCAGCACTCCCCTGGCAGAGCTCTACAACCACAACTTCCA